AGAGAGAGAGGTAGTGAAAGGTTGGGGCTCACGTAGGGCGTGTTTGTTTGGGGGAGATTTCTTTCTGAAAGAAATCTTTCCAATTTTCCAAAAGTTTTTCGTTTGACGCACACTTTCTATCTAAAAGTTTTGAAAGTAATCTTCCAACAAAGTTCCTATTTCGGAAATATTTTGACGTTAAGTCACACAAAAAAGAAAGGAACCCCCGTTTCCCATTTTTGTTGCCCTAACATAGAGCCTCTGTCCTCCATCTGCCATCGCTGAGCTTCTCTCCTCCATCTTCGAACCAGGTAACCGTCTCTTCTCTTCTCTCTTCCATTGTTCTCTCTTCTCTCTCCTGTGGTGTCTCTCCTCTTCTATCTCCTCTAACCAGGCCTGAAACTGGCTGAGCTCTTCTCTCTCCCATCTTTTCTCTCTGATCTCTCTCCTCTAAATCAAGGCCATAAAACCAGGCCCTAAAAAAATTAAAACCCTAAAATCAATGCCCTAAAAAAGCCTTATAAACCAGGTTGAGCTTTCTCTCTCTTGGCCTACGGTCTCTTATCTGTAAAGTCTTTCTCTCTCTCACTTGTGATGAAGGATTGTAAGGTGCAAAGGGCCTTCACTTTGCTCTCCCTCTTTCTCATCTCTGAGAAGGTTTTGACTTCGCTTCTTTCTACAATCGCCTATCCTTTCACCTCTAAAGGTATGACCGTTTTTGATTTCTGAATCTAATCAACTCTTTTGTCCCCGCCGCCCTCTCTCTCTCTATCACCAAACTTTCTGGGTAATTGGGTATTTCTTCTTGGTTTCTATGTGGGTTGATATGAATAATTGAGATTATCTTCTCTCTACTCCTCTCAACGAGAAATGGAAGTAGACAATGATTAAGTTATATAGATCTGGCTAGATCTGATTATGGCTTTTTTTTAATTTAAATTTTTACTCTGTTTGCAGATCTGATTATGGTTTTGTGTAGCGAAAATTAGGCTTTATTCTTTGAAATAAACTCTGAAAATCGTGGTTTTATATTTTTGTGGTCTGTTATTTTTTTCTTTCATGTTTTTATGCTCCGTTATAATATTTGATTCCAGTAAATAAGATATTACCATTTGTACAAGTGACTGATTTTTTACTGTAATAAATTTATCTAATTTTACAGTAGCTATTCTAAAATTATTTGACTTTAAGAAGTATATGACCTGTTAAGATCATCTGATTCTATAGTAAATGTTACAATGAATTATTGTATACAGTAAATTAATTGTTACTGTGTTGGTCTTTACTAAAAAATCTATATACTTCTTATGTTGAAAATAACTTGACAAATCAATACATATCCCCATATTGATGTACTGTGAATGATTGTGTCTTCGATCTGATATGCACATTTGGTTGCACTTCTTTGTTGATAATTGATAATGGCACAACATTTTGCAATCTCCACCGTGATCCACGACTCATGGTGATCCATAATGAGCATCACTT